ACGAGCGCTACTTCCTCCTCGTTGTTGACGAATACTCGCGTTACACCGCAGTCTTCCCCTTGCGCAGCAAGGGTGATGTCACTGAGGTGCTGATCGACTGGATCTGCGCAGCTCGTCTCCAGCTCAGGCAGAGCTTTGACTCGGACTTTCCTGTTCTGCGTCTGCACTCGGACTGAGGCGGAGAGTTTTCTTCTGGCCTTCTGAGAGCCTACTGTCGCGCACGAGGAATCCGTCAGACCTTAACGCTTCCAGACTCCCCGCAGAAAAATGGGATTGCTGAGCGCCGCATTGGCATGGTCATGGACGTAGCTCGTACGTCTATGATGCATGCGGCTGCTCCCCATTTTCTGTGGCCGTTTGCGGTGAGGTACGCGGCGCATCAGATCAACCTACACCCAAGGGTCTCCAGGCCGGAGACCTCCCCAGCCTTGCTGTGGACGGGGAAGGTTGGCGATGCGTCAGCGTTCCGGGTCTGGGGAACTCGGGCGTTTGTCCGCAACTTGTCTGCGGACAAGCTGTCCCCTCGTGCTGCTCATTGCGTCTTCCTGGGGTTCCCCCCTGACGCGCCTGGGTGGCAGCTCTACCACCCCACCTCTCGCCGTGTTCTGTCCTCCCAGGACGTCACGTTTGACGAGTCGGTCCCCTACTACCGCCTCTTCCCCTACCGCACTCCGTCCCTCCCCCCGCCGCCGCTCTTCCTTGTACCAGGTCCCCCTCCGGTAGACCCCCTCCCCCCTCAGGGTCCGTCCCCTTCAGGTGTGTCCCATGTAGACGCAGTCGAGCCTGTCGAGGTCACTGGTGACTCTGGTGCTGCTGAGGGTGCTGAGCCGGGGGGTGCTGACTCTGGGGGTGCTGAGCCTGGGGGTGCTGAGCCTGGGGGTGCTACGACTTGGGGTGCTGAGCCTGGGGGTGCAGAGCCTGGGTGTACTGAGACTAGGGGTGCTGAGCCTGGGGGTGCTGCGTCTGGGGGTGCTGCGCCTGGGGATGCTGAGCCTGGGGTGCTGAGCCTGGGGGTGCTGAGCCTGGGTGTTTTGAGCCTGGGGGTGCTGAGACTGGAGATTCTCCGGGTGCTTCGTCTGTGCGGGAGCCACTCTCTCCACGGGAGCTGCGCGAGTGGTTTGCACGACGTTGGAGGCGTGCTGCTAGTGCTGGAGGTTCTTCGGCTACTGAGGGTGCTGCTGTCGCGGACCCTGGCCGTGCTCATACTGGGAGTACTGGAGCTGCTGGGCCTGCGGGTTCGACTGGAGCTGGTGCTGCTGAGGGTGTTGGAGCTGAGACTACTGCTGGCGGTCCTGCTGCGGGTACTCTTGGTACTGCTGGAGGTTCTGCCGCTGCTGGTGGTGCAGCTGGAGCGGGTGCTCCTGCTGGGGGTACTGGTGCTGTACCTGCTGTGACTGGCGTCGCCGCGCAGCCTCGACCGTACTTCGTTCCACTCCTGCAAAAGGTTCTTGGTCTTCCGCCTTCTACTCGTCCTCCTCCTTCTTTAGAGTGTCCACACCCAGTCCCGTCACAGTTACAGTTGCAGCCTACCTCCCCTTTGCCTGCTCCTTCTCCCTACACTGGTCCTACTGGAGGTCTTACTAAGCGTCGTGAGCCTGCGTCTCGCCCTGCGTTGCTTGTCCGTGCTGCTCGCGCTAGTGGTCGTGGTTTGCGTCAGCGTCCTCCTCCTGTCCCTGGCACGCACAGGATGTCTCTGCGTCCGTCCACTGCTCCTCTGCGTGCCCCTTTGCCTTCTCCTCCTGAGTCCTCTCTTCCTGCACTTGCCGACCCTAAGTCTGACTCTCTTCGTGCTGCCATTCCTCCTGTCACGCGACTCCTGGCTACTGTCGTCACTGACCCTTCTTTCGAGTCCACTACTGCGTCTGCCCTAGTTGCTGAGCTCGTCGACTTTGCTGCTCGCTGTCGCCTAGACTACGCTGCTAGTCTTGTCGCTGAGTCTCAGTCCGTCTGTCCTCCGTCCGTCAGGGGTGAGTGTGCCCTTGGCACGGACGTCCTTAAGGACAGGCAGGAGGAGTTCCACTGCTTGGACGCTGCTTCACCTCATCTCGTGTCCGTCCTGCTTACCCCTGAGGGAGACCTGGATGCACTTTACATCCCGACTCCGCGCTCTTACGCGGAGGCGATAGAGGCTCCCTACTCTTCTCAGTGGCAGGCAGCTATGGATGCAGATATGGCTTCCTAGAAGTCCACAGGCACCTACGTTGACGCTGTCCCCCCTCATGGGGCGAACATCGTCAGTGGCATGTGGACCTTCAGGGTGAAGGGGCCGCCGGGTTCTCCGCCTGTCTTCAAGGCGCGTTACGTGGCTCGTGGCTTCAGTCAGCGGCAGGGAGTTGACTACTTTCAGACCTTCTCTCCCACCCCGAAGATGACCACTCTTCGGGTACTGCTGCACGTTGCTGCTCACCGTGACTACGAGCTGCACTCTCTCGACTTCAGCACAGCTTTCTTGCAGGGCAGCCTGCACGAGGAGATCTGGCTGCGCCGCCCACCTGGCTTCACAGGGACTTTCCCTCCTGGCACCCAGTGGAGCCTCCGACATCCAGTCTACGGTCTCCGTCAGGCACCGCGCGAGTGGCACGACACACTGATGACTACACTTGCGGCTCTTGGGTTTGCTCCCTCTACTGCTGACTCGTCGCTGTTTCTACGCACCGACACCTCTCTGCCGCCGTTCTACATCCTCGTGTACGTCGACGACTTGGTCTTTGCCACAGCCGACACTGCTGGACTCGCCTACGTGAAGTCCGAGCTGCAGAAGAGACACACGTGCACAGACCTGGGTGAACTGCGCAGCTACCTTGGCTTGCAGATCACCCGGGACAGAGCACGCCGCACCATTACCCTGACTCAGTCACACATGGTGCAGCAGGTCCTTCAGCGCTTCGGCTTCACGTACTCCTCGCCTCAGGCCACTCCTCTGCCTACTCGCCACTCGCTCTCAGCTCTGCCTTTGGATGAGTGTGTAGAGTCGAGTGGCCCGTATCCAGAGCTTGTTGGCTGCCTCATGTACTTGATGACCTGCACACGACCTGACCTTGCATACCCTCTTAGCATTCTCGCACGCTATGTTGCTCCTGGGAGACACCGACTAGAGCACATGGCTGCAGCGAAGAGGGTGTTGCGCTACTTGTGAAGTACGTTGGGCATGGGGCTAGTGCTTGGAGGGGGGTGTCCAGTAGTCCTCACTGGGCACGCGGACGCTTCTTGGGTTGACGACCAAGCTACGCAGCGGTCGTCATAGTGTTACACCTTCAGCCTTAGTTCCGGCTCTGTTTCGTGGCGGGCTACTCGCTCGTCTTCTGTTCTCGGCTCCAGTTGTGAGGCTGAGATCTACGCCGGGGCCATGGCTGCACAGGAGCTTCGCTGGCTCACCTACCTGCTGACCGACCTTGGAGAGTCGCCTCGTTCTCCTCCAGTCCTGTACGTAGACAACAAGGCCATGCTGGCCTTGTGTCAAGAGCAGAGACTGAAGCACAGAACAAAGCACATTGCTCTTTGCTACTTCCTTGCTCGTGAGCTACAGCAGCGTGGTCAGTTGCGGCTTGCGTACGTGCCAATACTGCTGATGTCTTCACCAAGGCACTTGCGCCTTGTGATCATCAGCGCTTCTGCACCCAGCTGGGTCTTGTACCTGTCTTGCCTCACTTGCTCACCTCTTGACCTTGCTTGTACTGTTACATATATATATACCTGCTCTTGCTTGTCTAGCCTTATATATATATGTACTCCTGCAAGTGAACTGGCCTTGTGGCCTTGAACTTGTGCTCGGAATGTGTGGTGACTTTGTGATCCACCCTGAGCTTGCTTTGCTTTGCTTTGCTTGACTGGTCTTGTGACCCCTTGTTCTCCCCCACTTTGCCTATGGGGGTGTGTCAGAACATATAGCTTGTGCTTATTGTGTAGGCCATAGTGGGGTAGCCCATAAGGGGTACAACCCAATTAGGGTTAGTACTTGTACTCAGTTCATTCATAGTTCATTCATTCTCGTTTCATTTTTCTCACGAGGGTCACCACGAGAGGCTCCTACAGCGACTATGCTCTTCTCTACTGCTAAGAGGCGCTTCTCGAGGAGGTCAACGGTGAGTGTGGTGGGGCAAACTGAGAGGAAGTGGTCCCGGACTAAGCGAAGGGAGTCAGGGAGCCGGGTGACTATGTAGTAGAGGGTGATGTACAGGGGGGGGGGGGGGGGTTCTTGGCACAGAACTCAACAAGAAGCGTAGCGCGGTAGCGAGTGTCACTAGTGCGAAGGTGCATAATGAGGTCAGCGACTGTGGGAAAGGCAGCAAGGTCAGGGAAGAGGTACGGCAGCATGAAGCGGCTAAGAGCAGTAGTGGCAGGGGAAGAGTAGCGTGCATCTACAGCGTCGTACAAGGTCTTAGCACTCTTGTACTGACTAAAGTGCGCACGCTCAGCGGTCGGTAAGTGGCAACGCACAGCAAGACGGGCAGCAGCATCGCGTGTGGCCCACTGTGAGCGAACAGTGCTGTCAGCAGTAGCAGGCGGGGCAGGAGAAGCACCAGAGGTGAGATCAAACAGGGAGAGTCCGTCTGCCCTATCGCACTGGAGGAAGAGCTGGAGGTCATCGACCCAGACCTCAAAGTTAACAGCACGACCCTCAGCATTAAAGGTAAGGACACTGGGGGTAGCCATGACAGCAGTAGTCTAGCAGGGAGTGCTCTCACCAGTCCGGGCGGGTAGGGCTGGTGCTCGTCGGTAGGAATAGTAGCGGCTCGACGGCGGCTCGGCGGCTCGGGGGCTGGGCGGCTCGGCTGCTGGGCGGCTCGGCTGCTCGGCGGCTCGGCTGCTCGGCGGCTCGGCGGCTCGTCGGCTCGGTAGCTCGGTGGCTCGGCTGCTGGGCGGCTCGGCTGCTGGGCGGCTCGGCGGCTCGGCGGCTCGGTGGCTCGGCTTCTGGGCGGCTCGGCTGCTGGGCGGCTCGGCGGCTTGGCGGCTCGGCTGCTGGGCGGCTGAAGGGGCCGAGAAGGGTGGCGATGGGGCCGCTAGAGGGCAGCGATGGGGTCGCGAAGGGCGGCGACAGGGCCGCTAGGGGCGGCGACGGGGCCGCGAAGGGCGGCGACGGGGCCGCTAGGGGCGGCGAGTTGGCCGTGAAGGGCGGCGACGGGGCCGCTAGGGGCGGCGTCGGGGCCGATAGGGGCGGCGACGAGGCCGTAGAGGGGCCGCGAGGGGCCTAGAGGGGCGGCGACGGGGCCGAGAGGGGCGGCGACGGGGCCGCGAAGGGGCTGTGAGGGGCCTAGAGGTGCGGCGACGGGGCCGCTAGGGGCGGCGACGGGGCCGCGAAGGGGCCGCGAGGGGCCTAGAGGGGCGACGACGGGGCCGCTAGGGGCGGCGACGGGGCCGCGAAGGGGCCGCGAGGGGCCTAGAGGGGCGGCGACGGGGCCGCTAGGGGCGGCGACGGGGCCTAGAGGGGCGGCGACGGTGTCAGAATGTTATTCTCTAGCCTGTAGTGGGGTGCTCTATAGCGAGTACAACCCATCTAAGGTTTGCTATATGTATCCTCATTGCTGCTAGTGAAACCCCTCCTTCATTCTCATTCATTCTCGTTCAATTCTCACATGTTATCAGAGTGGTTCCGATCCTAGGACCCAACTGCTTCCGCTGCTACTCTGTGCTCGGCACGCCCCGTGGCGTGCCCCTCGCGCTTCTCTTAGCGGCCCCGTTGCCGCCCTTCCTAGCCCCTCGCGGCCCCTTCGCGGCCCCGTTGCCGCCCTTCCAGGCCCCTTGCGGCCCCCTCGCGGCCCCGACGCCGCCCTTTCCGCGGCCCCGTCGCCGCCCCTTACAGCGGCCCCGTCGCCGCCCTTTAGCGGCCCTGTCGCCGCCCTTCCGCGGCCCCGTCGCCGCCCCTTCAGCGGCCCCGTCGCCGCCCTTCAGCGGCCCCGTCGCCGCCCTTCAGCGGCCCCGTCGCCGCCCTTCCGCGGCCCTGTCGCCGCCCCTTCAGCGGCCCCGTCGCCGCCCTTCAGCGGCCTCGTCGCCGCCCTTCAGCGGCCCCGTCGCCGCCCTTCCTCGGCCCCGTCGCCGCCTACAGCGGCCCCGGCCCCGCCCCGGCCATGCCCCGCCGCCAGCCGCGGCGCACCGGGGGCACGTGCACCCCCCCCCCCCCCCCCTTTTCCCGTCGCCTGTCGAGGCGACCTGAGAGGGCCGCCTGGGGGGGGGGGGGGGCGAGCGTCGCCCCTTCTGCCGCCTGCTTTGGCGCCCTGGGAGGCCGCGCGTCGCCCCCCCCCCCCCCCCCCCCTCCCTACCCGCCATCCCGCCCTGCCCTGTGTTAGGGTTTGGGGGTGGCAAGAAGGGGGTGACGGGTGTGTGGTCTCCCCTGCTCCTCCTCCTCCTTCGTCTCCCACTGCTGCAGCTGTCGCTGAGGGGGGTGGATGTGTGGGAGCCTGGGGTTTAGGGTTTAAGGGGGGTACTATGGGAGTGGAGCTAGGGTTTTGAGGGAGGTGGATGTGTGGGCGTCTGGGGTTTAGGGTTTACGGGGGTGCTGTGGGTGTAGGGTTAGGGTTTGAGCAGGGGGTGTGTGAGAGGGGCGTTGGGCAGCTGGGAGAGGTTGCGTGGAGGCAGCAGTCTTGTCGTCAGCAGCACCAGCAGTCCGGAGGCTACAATCTCCGGTAGTCGCCAGTCGCCTGTGGGTCAGTTGCTCGTCTGCCTTTACTTTTAGCCGCGGAGCCAGTTACTCCTATAGTCCGGGCCTTTGCTTCGGTAGCCACTGAGCCAGCAGCTCGTCTGTGTGTCTGCAGCGTCAGCAGTCGCCTCCCATCTTCTCTCTCCCACAGTCTCTCCTCCTCCCCACTTGCCCTCTGTGATTAGCTCTAGCTTTACTTACCTATTGTGAACTCCTGCTCTATGCCTGCTTGCTCATTGTGCTGATTACACCCCACTTTGGCTATGGGGGTGTGTCAGAATGTTATTCTCTAGCCTGTAGTGGGGTGCTCTATAGCGAGTACAACCAATCTAGGGTTTGCTATATGTATCCTCATTGCTGCTAGTGAAACCCCTCCTTCATTCTCATTCATTCTCGTTCAATTCTCACAGACGGGGCCGCGAAGGGGCCGTGAGGGGCCTAGAGGGGCGGCGACGGGGCCGCAAAGGGCGGCGACGGGGCCGCTAAGGGTGGGGCACGAGGGGGCGCTAAGGGAGCGCGACGTGAGGGCGGCCGACGGGGCGCGCCTCGGGCAGGAGAAAAAATCGAGTTCAGTGGTGGGCCCTGAGAAGCGTTCCCACGAGGGAACCTGCTCTATACCATGTGAAGAATGAGGAATGAATGAACTAAGAAAGAGGTGGGTACAAGTAGGAAAACCTAGAAATGTTGTACTCCATATAGTCTACCTCACTACAGCCTACACAGACTATAGCATATAAGTTTGACAGCAAGTGCAGAGACAAGAAGTACCTAAGCAACAATCAGATCACCCCCGGGAAGTCAAGGGCAAGAGAAGGAACAAGTGAGGCATGCAGGTACAGGAGGTGGAGGCTGCCATCTTCTGACAGCTGTCACGCAATTAATAAGGCTGGATAATGGTAGATAGCACCTAGGTAGCCATATGAACTTGCGTAACAGAATTAGAGTACTGTAGGAAAATAATGAGTGAGCCCAGTAGAGAGGATGAGGCGGGGAACACCCGCCAAAGCATACGCGATGCCAGAAACAGGAGCGACGCCGAGCCTAGCGGGAACACTGTGGCTAAGTGCAACGGAAACCGCAGGCATGGAAGGCCTGCTTGCTTGTTTGTTTCCTCACATGTTAGCTAATGTCTCAGAAGCCGTTTTGCTACCGAGGAGCCACTCCAAGCAGGCAGTCAGCCGAGTTACTCGTGTGGACTCACGAAACCCTAGCTCAGTTTTCTAGTGCAGAGACAGGAAGTACCTAAGCAACAATCAAATCATCCCCAGGAAGTCAGGGGCAAGAGAAGGAACAAGTGAGGCATGCAGGTGCAGGAGGTGGAGGCTACCATCTTCCGACAGGCAGCAGCAGCCTAGCAGCAGTAGCAGCTGAGCAGTAGCAGCAACGCAGCAGTAGCAGCAGCGCAGGCGGCAACAGCGGCAGCAGCAGCAGCGCAGCAGCAGCAGCACAGGTGGTAGCAGCAGTGCAGGCGGCAGTAGCAGCCTAGCAGCAGCAGCAGCTGAGCAGTAGGAGCAGCGCAGCAGTAGCAACACAGGTGGCAGCAGCAGCCTAGTAGCAGCAGCAGCAGCAGCAGCACGAGTGCAGGGGGCAGGGCAGCACTAATGCACGGAGCGGCTTGGCTCAACTGGGCGGCTCGAGCAGCAGCAGCAGGTTAGCAGCCGTGCAACAGCAAAGGCACGGCAGCCGCGCGTGCAGGGCAACAGCGCGGAGCAGGGCAGGACAGCCGCGCGTGCAGAGCAACAGCGCAGCGCAGGGCAATAGCAGCAGTGCAGCAGCAGCAGCAGCGCAGGCGGCAGCAGTAGCTTAACAGCAGCAGCAGCGCAGGCGGCAGCAGCAGCTTAACAGCAGCAGCAGCGCAGGCGGCAGCAGCAACTTAATAGCAGCAGCAGCGCAGCAGGGCACTATTGCAGTAACAGCAGGGCAGCAAGGCAGTAGTGCAGCAAGAGCAGGGCAGCAGGGAAGTGCGCCGGCGAAGCGCAGGAGCAGTGCAGGTGCGCGCGCGGCAGAGCAGGTGCGCGCGCGGCAGAGCAGGTGCGCGCGGGCCTGGCGCGGGTCGTACGGGCTGCGCGCGGGCCTGGCGCAGGGTGCAGGGGCTGCGCGCGGGCTGTACAGGGTGCGCGCGGGCGGCGCGCGGGCTGTACTGGCTGCGCGGCGGGCTGCGCATGAGCGGTACGGGCTGCGCGCGGCAGGGCAGGGCAGGGCAAGGTAGCGCGGGTGCGGGTCGCTGGTAGGGCGCAGGGCAGCGCGATCGCGGGCGGGGCAGGGCAGCTCGATGGTCAGCTCGAGCGCTAGGCGCAGGGCAGTGCACGTGCGGGGCAGGACGATTCTGGCGGGCAGGTCTAGTGGCGCGCCACGGACAGAAAAAACGATCGCGCCCTAGGGGCGCACGACGAGCAGTAAACTAACGGTGGGCCCTTAAACTTTTAGGTCCTAGGCTAGGAACGTCCTAGCTTTTAATACCATGTTGAGATAGGTAGGAAGGAATGATGTGGATTAGGGCAATGAGGGGGATACAATGAAGTGTCGAGCAACTTAATGTACCCCCTAAGGCTAAACCCACTACAGCCTAGATAACAGTAAACATATACCTTGACAGGAAGTGCACATTCGGCCAATTTCATCGACACCAAAGGTACCTCGCGTCGCCTTCGGGTTTCCATTGCCCAATCTGCACCCAACCTACGTTCCCAAGGTTCCTCGCCTAGTTAGGGTAACTCGTTAAATGATCCTGGGCCATTCATAAATATTGTCACAACTTCGATATTGGTTATTCCGCACAACTCTGTTGAACAGCTTATAACAATTCTCGTAGCCCAAGACGTTCATTAATGGTAAAGCGTACGAGCAGTAAAGCGTACGCTCAGGGACAACTCCCAGCCGGTGCTGTACGTCACCTCAAGCCAACCCAAACCCCCCAACATCCTGGCAGGCTCACCCACCCATCAGCGTTCAGCAGCACTGATGAAGCTGTCAAACCTGGTGGGTCCGCCACCTACTCATATGGCAGACGAAAGCTCAAGGCTTATGGTAACCACCCCAAGCTCACCCTGCAAACGAAGGGCAGCGAGAGTACGAGAGGTCATGGAGGGACGGCGGTGGTGGTGGGGCATCTTCAATCTGCCCTGTTGCTGCCCTTTCACTCCACAGCATTGCTCCCCTCACATTTCTCATCTCAACGAACCAATCATCTTGACTTCAACACGCGTAACTTAGGCTTGAAAGCGTGTCCGCATTCCCAGGCCACTAAGCCTAACAGACCAGACCAGCTGCGATTCACCTGCTGACATTCGCACCATCGACAGCCCCCTCCTTCTCCGTCCCCCCAATCTCCTCACTCCCACGCCCCAACGTGTCCTTCACCGTCGCGTCCGTGATGCCGCATTCGTCGCGCATGTGGATCCGCGCGCTCGCCGTCAAGATGTGACGGGCGCATGCCACCTCCCGTCACACGGATCGACTCGCCGCCTCTCCACCGCGTGTAGGAACCGTGCATAGCGGTGCGTCGCGCGTGCAGCCATGGCTCGGGTGACGGCCGCATTGTCGTCGCGAAGTGCGTACCGCGGCCGAGGCAGCACCAGCAGCAGCACTGGCGGCGGCGCATCGAGCGGTGGCGGCGGCGGCAAGTCGCCGGCGTGGATGTACCACCAGCTGCCGATCATCGTGTTGACCATCACCAACATCATCATCGTCAGCATGCTCTACAGGTGCGCGCCCGCCATCGCCCCCCACCCACGCTCCCGCTCACCACGTCCACCTGCGCGCTCCGCATTTGCATGTGAGCGACGCGGCCTGTCACGGCCTCGCGTGCTGCTCGCGGCGCCGTCGTTCCAGCGGAGACGAGTCATCGGCCATCGCCAGCGCGCGTGTCGGTGGTGCCGTCGCGGCGATGCCGCCGGTAGCGCCCAACGAGGCGAGGCCACTGCTCGCCGCACCCAGCGTACCGCGCGTACCGCCAGCTCAGCCAGGCGGGCGGCCGGGCCTGGTCTCATGCGGGCGGGTGGCGCGTTGCAACGGTGGCGGACATTTGGCTTGGTGGAGCGGTTGAGGGGTGAGAAGAAGCGAGAGGCGCGAGCATGGGGTGGAAGGGCGACGGCTTGCGCACGGCCCTCACGCTGCTGCCACGCCTCCCACTGCGCACGCATGGGCCGTGCGTCTGGCTCCTCCCTGCCGCGCCACGGCTGCGTTGCCGTGCCGCCCTCGTTGCTGTGTCGCGCACCACCTCGCCATGTCCTTCCCGTTCCGCTTTCTAACCTCGTCCATCCTTCCCCCCCTCTCTCCACCCCCCCTCTCTCTCCCCCCCCTCTTCTCTCTCTCTCTCTCTCTCTCTCTCTCTCTCTCTCTCTCTCTCTCTCTCTCTCTCTCTCTCTTTCTCTATCTCTCCTCGTGCTGCGTGTGAACCGCAGCGACATATCCTGCCACGTGGACAAGACTCTAGACGCCTCTACCGCGGCCATGGGTGCCGCGACTGGCGCCGATGCTGAGATCCGCCTGCCGTCTGCCGCCTCCTCCGCATCGTCCTCCCTCGGACTCCCCTCGCCCCCATCCATCCGCCCGCCCACTATCTCCCCTCCCCCCCCCGCCTCGCCACCCCCTTCCCTTCCGCCCCCTTCCCCTCCAGCCACATCCCCGCCGCCCTCCCCACCTCCCCCGGCCCCCTCCCCTCCACCTCCCCTTCCGCCCGCGCCTGTGGTGGTGGCAGCGGGCTTGGCGAGTGGCGGGCAGGCGCAGGGGGTTGGGGAGGTGGGCAGGGAGGGGGCGGTGAGGGCGCGGCGGACAGCGAGGGGGGGTCGTAGTGTTGGGGCGGAGAGCGAGGAGGGCGAGGAGGCGGAAGAGGCGGAGGAGGAGGGTGTGAAGGGGAGAGCAGTGGCGCGAGGGCATGGCGCATGGGCGGCGCGGAAGAAGAAGGGCCGTGGCAAGGGCGGGAAGAAGGCGCGGGGCGCATGGGAGAGGTCGGGGGACGAGGAGGACGAGTACGAGGAGGAGGAGGATGAGGAGGAAGCGGACGAGGAGGAGCGCGAGGAGGAGGACACGGGCAGGCGAGCAGGGGGCGCGACGAGGAGAGGCAGCAGGAAGGCAGTGGCAGGGCGGCGAGCAGGGTGAGGGGGAGGCGATTACGGAACAACCTGCCATGCTGTCCTACTGCCATGCATGCCGTGACTGTGCTATGTCATAGCCTACCCTCCTTGTACCCGCATGCCTCATACCACATGTCATGCCTTGCTTTCACCCCTTTCCGCTTCCTTTCCCCTGTCGCCCCCGACCCAACTGCCCCGTGTTTCCCCGGTCAGTGCATTGCACGCGACTGACTCGTCGCTGCGGCGCAAGGGCAAGGCGAGGGGCAGGGCGAGGGGCAAGGTGGGCGCGAGGGCGGACGAGGAGCAGCAGGGCACGCGCAAGGACAGGAGACGGCGAGGCGAGGAGGACGAGGAGGACGAGGAGGAAGAGGAGGGGGAGGGCGAACGGGGGCGTGGGGGTGCTTGGGCCCTGCGGTCCAAGAAAACAGAGGAAGGTGGGCGCAGACGGGGGCATGAGGGCAGGGGGGAGTACGGGGAGGAAGGGGAGGGGTTTAAAGGGGCAGTGGGGAGGGACAGGCTGTGGCAGCGTGGAGATGGGTATGGGCGCAAGGGGGGTGAGGGGGAGGGCGCAGAGGACAGCAGGTGGCGGTCCCAGCAGCAGCGCGGTGGGGAAGAGCGCTCGTGGGCAGCAGGGGCGGGCGCAGGTGGGGCGGGGCTGTGGTCGCAGCGCAGCAGTGGGGGCCAGGCGGGGTGGCAGGTGGGTGACAGGGGCAGATGGGCGCAAGGAGGGGGGACCTATGGGGAGCAGGGCGCAGGGGCAGGGGGGTATTACGGCAAGGGGGCGGGCACAGGGGCGCAGTGGGGAGATAGTGGGCGGAGAGAGGGGACAGTGGCAGGGGCGTGGGGCACAGGGTCAAGGGGGGCGGGGGGAGTTGGGGTGGTGGAGCCATGGCGTGTGGGGGGGGTGGGAGGGGGGGGCGCGTGGGGTGGGGAACGCGGGTACATGCTGTCACCCCCGGCAGCAGCAGCAGGTCGCATGCAGATGCTGCCAGGGGGAGGCGCAAGCACAGGCGGGGGTGCAGGCATGGGTATGGGCGTGGGCGTGGGCAGCAACAGCCCTGCAACAACGGGGTGGCGCGCAGGTGGGCTGCTGCCGTGGCTCACTGGCACGGCCTCCCCACCCCCTGCTGATCCCCCTCCCTCTCCCCCGCCCCCCGCTCCTGTGGAGCAGACACAGCCCCAAGAGCAGCAGCAAGTGCAGCAGCAACCAGCCCAGCAGGTGCAGCAGCAGGTGCAAGAGCAGGGGGGAGGGACACAAGGTGGGGGGGGTGAGCAGCAGCAGCAGCAGCAGCAACAGCAGCAGGAGCAGCAGCAAGAGCAGCAGCAGCAGCAAGAGGAGGGCGGGCAGGAGGAGCAGCAGAAGGAAGTGGGCGAGAGTGGCGATGCTGGAGATGGTGGAAGGCCAGTCACACAAGACAAGAAGCCACCACGCAAGGTGCCACCACATGCCTCGCTGCTCTCACATGCCTCGCTGCTCTCACTCCTGTCCCCCCTGTCGCTTGTGTTCCTGTCCAACTCTCCACGTTTCTCCCCTCTGCCACCTCACATGCACTCTCTGTTTCTTCGTCTGCCCTCGGGCCCTGCGTCTGGTCTTGGGTGTGTGTATGCGCGCGCGCATGTGTATTCGTGTGAGTGGGCGTGGTTCTGTCCATGTGTGTGTGCGAGTGATTGTGTCGTGTGTGTGCGAGTGATTGTGTCGTGTGTGTGTGAGTGATTGTGTCGTGTGTGTGTGAGTGAGTGTGGTGTGTGTGAGTGAGTGTCGTGTGTGTGCGAGTGAGTGTGTTGTGTGTGTGCGAGTGAGTTTGTCGTGTGTGTGCGAGTGAGTGTGTCGTGTGTGTGCGAGTGAGTGTGTCGTGTGTGTGTGAGTGAGTGTGCTGCCTGTGGTGCGTGTGACCTGTGCAGATGGACTTTCTGCTGTTCAGCGGCTATCGCAGCACCATGGACACGTTTGTGGCCATTGGCAACATCCGCCCCAACCGCACGCTCACCGACCTTGACTGCTGGTGAGATGTGCATGCATGCAACCGGAATGGCTGGCCACTCCTTATGGGTGTTGTGACTTGGACGAGGAATGCGGTTGGAGATACACCACACCACCCCCTGTGTGCCAGGTTCTGTCGCGGGACCAGTGCAGAGCACATGGCAGCAGGGGACCTCTGGTGCTGGGACGGGCTGTCCCGCATGCTGGCCGTTGTGCCTCGTCACGCCACACTATCTCCTGCCATGCTCCACCTCTTCCAAACATCCATGTGCAACCCACCGCCCCTGTTCCAACCCCTGGGCGGCGCGGGGGGTTGTGCAGGTGGCGCACGAAGAAGGGGTCGCGGCTGGCGGGGCGCGTGTCGGTGAAGCGCGTGGCGGAGATGGCGCTGGGGCCAGCGGTGATCAAGAGTCGTGGCAAGGGCCAGGAGTTGGCGGCGCTGCTGTTCTGCATCCTGGAGGAGGAGGCCAACCTGCGTACGGGCGGTGCCCTGCGCATGAGTGTGAACGGCGCGGAGCTGCTTGTGTACGAGGAGGACGCCAACCCCGGCTACAAGCTCAAGTTCGCTGTCAGTCGCCCCCGCCCCCCCCTGCACACCCAACTGCATGCACTGGTGCAACGCAGCAGCATCATCACGCCTCTCACACTTGGGCCCTCCTGCGCGCATGCTAACACCATTGCGCTCCCATCACATACCACTCCATCCACTGCTCCTCGTCGCTCCCACACACCTTTCACCCGTCTCTCCTTCCTGACTTGTACTAGTCTCTCCATCTGCCCCTCTCCCTCGCGCACGCACCCCTGATGGCGGGTGGCAGGCGGAGGAGACGCTGGTGTACGACGTGATGTACTGCTCGCCGCCGCTGCAGCGCGAGTACGACACGCTGCGCCTGTACCAGTGGGTGGAGTTCCACCGCAAGGTGCACCGCATCGACTTCTTCCAGCTCTACGACGCGGGGGGCGTCACGGACGACTTCCTGGGCGTGGCCGAGTCGTTTGTCAACGAGCGCCTGCTGGCTGTGCTCGACATGCGCATGGCCGCCAAGCACGACCCCTTCATGCACGGCCAGGTCTGCCCCGTCCCACGCCGCATGCGCTCATTGCTTTTGCACACCTGTGCTTGGGTTGGGGCCGATGCATTTGTCTCGTGCAGGTCCATGTGTACTCTTCATTTTTGCGCTATGTTGCTTCCCTAACCATTGCCCCAAATCCCACGCATGACTCGTCCCCATCACCTCCCTTCTCCCTCTCCCTGCACCTCTCTTCCCTCCCCCACCTGCACGCCCTTCCCTATGGGAGCGCAGCTGCTAGCGGCGCACGACTGTCTTTACTTTGCGCGCACGACAGCGCGGTGGGCGCTGTTCCTGGACGTGGACGAGTACCTCTATGTCACGGCACCACCGCACTCCATCCACGCCACGCTCCACAAGCACAAGGTGCTTCTTCAAACACCCCACACAACCGCTTCCTACCCCCACATCAAGTTTGTAGCCCGCACTGCTTTCCCCGCTCACTTCACTGTGCCCCACCGCTCACGCCTGTTGCCCCATGGTGCCACAATTGGCATGCGCGTGCCCCCCCCCCACCCCCGTTGTCCCCCAGCGGTCCACGTTCCTGACGGTGGGGTCAGTGCGATACTTCACGGAGCGGTGTGCGGCGCCACCCGAGGGTGAGGAGTTCAATGGGTGGGAGGTGGAGCGCATGGTGTTCTGCGACCCGCACCCCACGTGCTCCAACACCACCCTGCACACCAACCGCAACCTGTGCCTGGGCAACGAGGGTAGCCGCAAGTACATGGTGGACCCGCGCAAAACATCCATGATTGCGGTATGCCCTCATGCCTTGCCGCTCGCGCTGCACTGCTGCATGCGTGCATGGCATTGGTTGGGTTGCAGAGTGATTGAGGCATGGTTTCATGTGCTGTGGTACTCTCATCTAATACGACTCACGTGAGATTGCCTCCTGCCTGCTTTCATTTGCACCACAAGGGGTGTGAAGGACATGTGAGGTGCTGTGTGTTGGCGCCACCTTAGGCCAACGTGCATTGCTACCGCTGCCTCCCCATGTCCCACTCACCCCCTCGCCCCCTGCACGCCGCTCACCCATGTGTGCCCCGTGGGTGTCCCTTGCTGTCAGGAGCACCGTGTGCTGGAGCCACGGGCGGGCGGCACGCATCTGGACACAGAGGAGGTGCGCCTGGGGCGCTTCCCCGACCTTCCCGTGCAAGCGCTGGAGCCGTGCGGCAAGCTCGTCAAGGACGGCGACTGGATCCCCCCTGCGTGGACGCGCGACACCGGCCTTGCCAAGCTGGCGGAGCGCATGCGCCTCGACGACTCGCAATGACACCGTCAATGCCTGGGGGTGTTTGGAGTGGCAGGGGGGGAGGGGGATGCTGTCGTGGTGCTTGAAACAAATGTGGTGATGTTCGGCCATGGGGCCGAGGTTCCAAGCTTACTTATGCTTCGCACGCGCATCCATGGAGTCCCGTCTGCTTGTCGCCACACGTGCGGGAGATAGGGTGGGTGCGAGTAGCAAGATAGTAATTACTGAACAGACTAGCTGGATGTCCGCCTGTGTCCAATTTGAGGCAGTCGTGAGTATCCCTCATTTTGGAGGCTGCTGGTGTAGGAGCAGGATAAGCATTCTCAGGTATCTACAACTTTTACCGTACAAGCTCCATGGATCGAGCAAATGATGCCACTGAAGTTGCACTCTGAGTGCTGTGGTTAACAGTTCACAGAGAGCAGGACGGGTGCGGGAGCAGCATATGCAGACACACCAGTCTAGCGCCTGGCAGGGAATGGTATACCCGCCGCAAGTTGCAGTAGCTGCTGCTCTCCACCCTGTCAAGTGTCGTGCACTTCCCTCGCATTTCAGGCCATGGCGCTGAGAGGGCATTGCTCGCCGCAGTGCCCTCTCCCTCCTCTCCCGCCTTCCTCGTCGCAGTCTCTCTTCCCCACCACCGCACTGCATGTGTGCGCGCGCGCGCCCTCCAATGCTCTATGGCCAGCCTTCTCTCCGACTCGTCTCGTCTCCCTTCGCCCTCATCAATTGCCGTGTCCCTGCCGCCTCGCCGTCGCACCCACACTGCCTATTCGTCCGCCTGGCGGCGCGCCCTTTCTCCGACTGCTGTGTATCCCCGCGCGCCCCACCACGGGGACCTTTCGTGCACCCCGCGCGTCTGCATCTGACCCGCGCGGCGGGGTGCCAGCGGAGTGGGCGGAAGGGCTTGCCGCTGCGGGCACGACGCTGTACGACGTGCTGGGATTGGCGCGGCGCGACGCGTCCATGCACGACATCAAGGTGGCGTACCGGCGCGAGGCGCGGCGCTACCACCCTGACAGTCGCGCGGCGGGGCTGAGCGAGGCGGAGAGCACGCGGCGGTTCATCGCCGTGCAGCGCGCGTACGACGTGCTGTCGAACCCGCAGCAGCGCGCGCGGTACGACTGGGAGCTGCTGCACCCGCTGGTGGCGGGCGCACGGCATGGGGCCTTGGGCATGAGGACGGCGACGCGGTGGCGGCACGGGATGCGGCGGCCGTGGATGGGGCAGGCGATGTGGGACGGCGTGGAGGAGCAGGTGAGGCAAGTGGCGCTCACGCAGATGGGCGGCAGAGAGAGGGAGGGAGGGAGGGAAGGGAGGGAGGGGAGGGAGGGGAGGGAGGGGAGGGAGGGAGGGGAGCGAGGGAGCGAGGGAGCGAGCGAGGGAGGGAGGGAGGGAGGGAGGGAGGGAGGGGGGGAGGGAGGGGGGGGAGGGAGGGAGGGAGGGAGGGAGGGAGGGAGGGAGGGAGGGAGGGAGGGAGGGAGGGAGGGAGGGAGGGAGGGAGGGAGGGAGGGAGGGAGGGAGGAGGGAGGGAGGGAGGGAGGGAGGGAGGGAGGGAGGGAGGGAGGAGGGAGGGAGGGAGGGAGGGAGGGAGGGAGGGAGGGAGGGAGGGAGGGAGGGAGGGAGGGAGGGAGGGAGGGAGGGAGGGAGGGAGGGAGGGAGGGAGGGAGGGAGGGAGGGAGGGAGGGAGGGAGGAGGGAGGGAGGGAGGGAGGGAGGGAGGGAGGGAGGAGGGAGGGAGGGAGGGAGGAGGGAGGGAGGGAGGGAGGGAGGGAGGGAGGGAGGGAGGGAGGGAGGGAGGGAGGGAGGGAGGGAGGGAGGGAGGGAGGAGGGAGGAGGGAGGGAGGGAGGGAGGGAGGGAGGAGGGAGGAGGAGGGAGGGAGGGAGGGAGGGAGGGAGGGAGGGAGGGAGGAGGGAGGGAGGGAGGGAGGGAGGGAGGGAGGGAGGGAGGGAGGGAGGGAGGGAGGGAGGGAGGGAGGGAGGGTGGGAGGGTGGGTGGGTGATGCGTAGTGCAAGCATGGCAGGTCGAGGTGGCAGTGCTGCCATGCGTGCAGCGGCCATCCCCAGCACGCTCCTGTCCATGCTGTGCGCTGTGGCTGACAGTGTGAGGTGGTGTGCGCAGCATGCACGTCATCCTTCACTGCTTCCCTCTCCACCCGTTTTGCACTGCCAGCCCGTTCTCCTGCTTGCCTGCATCACTCTTGCCCCATGCTCACGGCCTGCATCACAGTGCCGTCCACAGCCCCGCGCAGCATTGGCGCTGCAATCCCAATCCCAATGCGCCGTATCCCATGCCCCCCGCAACAGCTGGAGGTGAAGGCGGCGTGGCGGCAGCAGTGGCACTCACAGCTGGCAGGGCTCAGACACTCCCGCACACAGCGCTGGCAGGCGCGCAGTGAGGGGGGCGAGTCGTGGGGTGCAGCAAGGAGGCGAGAGCAGCAGGTGGAGGGCGTGGCAATGCCCAGCGAGGTGTCTGCCAACAGCTGATGCTGCTGGCCCGCTTGAGCCTTGCAACCTGACGTTCATGGAGTGGGTCAAGAAGGTTTGACCCCTCTCTATCCATGCACTTCCCTATTGCCATAAACGGAGGGAGGGACCGTTGTTTAGGAATTCCCCGCTTTGGAGGTGCATGATAGGATGGGATGGAACACCTCTGAGAGACCGACCATCTGGCGCATGGGAAAATCAGTGACTGCCTTCAGCAGGGCCCAAGATTCATTTTAGGACACGCTGATGGGTCAGAGTGGACCCTCGTCTAAACTCTGTCAGTCAGAGTTGCATGCGATTTTGAGTCTGAAAGTTCAGACAACACTAGTTTTTTTTGGCTGAAAGTTCAGAGTTACACTAAGGGCGTGTTCCTAAGGCCTCTTATCAGGTGAACCTCTTGTCAGATTCGCGTCGCACCGCACTGAAACGCGCATAATAAAATTCGATCGTGTTGAATTGCATTGAACAGCACAAGTCTGACAAGAGGTCACCTGATAAGGGGCTGTAGGAACACGCCCTAAGTTTAAAGGCTGCCGGTTTTGTATACTGCGCCTAAAAACATTTCAACTATCTGAGTCAGATTCTATCACATGTGACTCTACAGCTGTCGGTTGAACTACTAGCTCCTCTGCAGCCTCCTTCCCAACTCTCTGGGGCTCCCTGTGCCTTGCAGCAGGTGCCATCACTGGCCAGCGCTTCTTGTAGTTGTGCCAGCTCATAGTCTAGCATAGACATACACAGCAAGTCACTGAGCCTACATTCTTTTAAACTACCCCTCTGCCACGTATTGATGAGATTCTGGCGAGAGAATCCCCTCTTGCACTCGACGGTGCTGAGAGGCAGCACTGCAATCGCCACCCAGAGTATGACGAGGTTGGGGCAGGCTTGCTCCCAGTCAGGTGTCTTGAGGATTGCAGTCAATCCCGTGTTGAACTTGCGCTCACTCTTAGGAGCTCTGGCCAGGACTGGGCACTAAGTTCGCAGCTCCTTCACGGCACGCTTCTTGTCAATGCCTGCAACATAAGACATGGCGAGAAATTAGTACGGGACGGTTTAGCCAACAAATAAACGAGCATCACATCATTAACAGACCTGGCAAAATCTCGTCGCAGTCGTCGACGCGGAACAGAGTGACTAGCGACAACAGCCACTCAAGGCACTGTGCCTGCCGTGCGCTCCTCTCCCAATTCGGACGCCACTCGTCAGGTATGAAAAGCCGAACGCCAGAAAGAGAGTCGAGGAATCCAAGCTTAGACTGAAGCTCCTCGACGAGGCCCTCGGCAAAGTCGGTGCAAAGCGCCACACACGCATCGTGATGGCCCGCCCCGAGATAGTTCCCCACTCGGCGCTTGTGAAGGGTGATCTTGAAGAGGTTGAGACTCCCATCCGACGACGCGCCTTCCACCACCATCTCTGGTGTCCCCTTCAGCCCATGCTTCTCGATGAATTGATGAAGCCGCTCGTTAGGCCTGCGAAAGTGAAAACGAGAATGAATGAACTATGAATGAACGGAGTACAAGTACTAACCCTAATTGGGTTGTACCCCTTATGGGCTACCCCACTAGAGCCTACACAATATGCACAAGCTATATGTTCTGACACACCCCCATAGGCAGAGTGGGGGAGAACAAGGGGTCACAAGACCAGTCAAGCAAAGCAAAGCAAAGCAAGCTCAGGGTGGATCACAAAGTCACCACACATTCCGAGCACAAGTTCAAGGCCACAAGGCCAGTTCACATGCAGGAGTACATATATATAAAAGACTAGACAAGCAAGAGCAGGATTATATATATGTAACAGTACAAGCAAGGTCAAGAGGAGAGTAAGTGAGGCAAGACAGGAACAAGACCCAGTTGCGTGCAGAAGCGCTGATGATCACAAGGCGCAAGGGCCTTGGTGAAGACATCAGCAGTGTTGGCCTCAGAGGCCACGTACGCAAGCCGCAACTGACCACGCTGCTGTAGCTCACGAGCAAGAAAGTAACGAAGAGCAATGTGCTTTGTTCTGTGCTCCAGTCTCTGCTCTCGACACAAGGCCAGCATGGCCTTGTTGTCTACGTACAGGACTTGAGGAGAACAAGGCGGCTCTCCAAGGTCGGTCAGCAGGTAGGTGAGCCAGCAAAGCTCCTGTGCAGCCATGGCCCTTGCGTAGATCTCAGCCTCACAACTGGAGCCGAGAACAGAAGACGAGCAAGTAGCCCGCCACGAAACACAGCCGGAACCAAGGCTGAATGTGTAACCCTGTGACGACCGCTGCGTAGCCTGGTCGTCAGCCCAAGAAGCGTCCGCGTGTCCAGTGAGGACCACTGGACTCCGCCCTCCAAGCACTAGCCCCATGCCCGACGTACTGCACAAGTAGCGCAACACCCTCTTCGCTGCAGCCATGTGCACTGGTCGGTGTCTCCCAGGAGCAACATAGCGTGCAAGAATGCTAAGAGGGTATGCAAGGTCAGGTCGTGTGCAGGTCATCAGGTACATGAGGCAGCCAACAAGCTCTGGGTACGGGCCACTCGACTCTACGGACTCATCCGAAGGCAGAGCTGAGAGCGAGTGGCGAGTAGGCAGAGGAGTGGCCTGGTAGCACGAAGAGAGTCCGACTCCGGGTCGGCAAGAGCAGGAAGAGAGGACTTAGGAGGAGAAGGCAAAGGGGCACACAGAGGAGCAGTGGACAGACGCAGAGACATCCGGTGCGTGCTAGGGACAGGAGGAGGACGCGAACCGCGACCACTAGTGCGAGTAGTACGAACCGGCGACGCAAGGCGAGACGCAGGCTCACGACGCTCAGCAAGACCTCCAGTAGGACCAGTGTAGGGAGAAGGAGCAGGCAAAGGGGAGGTAGGCTGCAACTGTAACTGTAAGGGGACAGGCTGTGGACACGCTAAAGAGGGAGGAGGACCAGCAGAAGGAGCAGGACCCTGAGGGGGGAGGGGGTCTACCGGGGGGGGACCTGGTACAAGGAAGAGCGGAGGGGGGGGGAGGGATGGAGTGCGGTAGGGGAAGAGGCGGTAGTAGGGGACCGACTCGTCAAACGTGACGTCCTGGAAGGACAGAACACAGCGAGAGGTGGGGTGGTAGAACTGCCACCCAGGCGCGTCAGGGGGGAACCCTAGGAAGACGCAAGGAGCAGCACGAGGGGACAGCTTATCCGCAGACAAGTCGCGCACAAACGCCCGAGATCCCCAGAACCGGAACGCAGACGCATCGCCAACCTTCCCCGTCCACAGCAAGGCTGGGGAGGTCTCCGGCCTGGAGACCCTGGGGTGAAGGTTGATGTGATGCGCCGCGTACCTCACCGCAAACGGCACAGAAAATGGGGGGCAGCCGCATGCATCATAGACGTACGAGCGACGTCCATGACCATGCCAATGCGGCGCTCAGCGATCCCATTTTGCTGCGGAGAGTCCGGAAGCGTGAAGGCCAGACGGATGCCTCGTGCGCGACAGTAGGCTCTCAGAAGGCCAGAGGAAAACTCTCTGCCTCTATCCAAGTGCAGACGCAGAACAGGAAAGTCCGAAACAAAGCTGGAGACGAGCTGCGCGGATCCAGTCGATCAGCACCTCAGTGACATCACCCTTGCTGCGCAAGGGGAAGACCGCATTGTAACGCAAGTAGTCGTGAACAACGAGCAGTCAGTAGCGCTCGTGACCATGTCCACGGACACGGGCTGGGCCCCACACGTCCATGTGAAGCGTTCTCAGTGGGGCCTCTGTCGGAGGAAACTGGGAGGAGTGAGGGGCAGCCCGCTGGCGCCCCTCGACACAGGGGACAGAGGTAGGGCCAAGCCTCGGAGGAAGGGGAGGGAGGGACCGGGGGAATCCAGAAACAAGAAGACGGGAGGCCATGCCTCTGAGACGAAGCAGAGAGGGGTGACCAAGGCGGTGGTGCCAGAGGAGAGTCTCGTGAGACAGGAGATGACACGAACAGGGGGCAGACTCAGGACCAGACCTGGACGCTGCAGCAAACACCTGACCCGACGCAGCTACCCTACCAGACTCAGCAACTGGAGGAGACGTGGTGGTCAGTGTGTACAGGCTCGACCCCGGCTGACGTGTAAACTTAGCCAAGTGACGGCCTGTGCTAGCCTCTTTGCAGTGCGTCACCCGCTGATGCGCAGGAGTGAACTCGTGTACTCCCCCATCCTGTAGGTCAGCACCACTCACCAATTTCGTAGAGAACGAGGGGAGGTAGAGATCAGACAGGGTGCCATCGGGAGCCGCCGGACACGGGAGGACCGTTGAGAAGTGAGACAGGACAGGACCCCCAGAGGGGTCAGCCAGAGACACCGCAACTGGCCGACTAAGCGGCGTGAGTGTGGTGCGGTCCCGAAAGAAAGAGCGAGAAGCCCCAGAGTGAAGGGTGAAGGTGAGGGAGGCCGAAGCCGACGCAGTACCTGAGAGCGCAGACTCACCAGTACCTGAGGACGCAGACGCACTAGCACCTAGAGCAGCATCGTCACAAGCACCTAGGGCAGCAGCCTCACCAGTACCTAGAGCAGCAGCGTCGCAAGCATCTGGGGCAGCCGCCTCACCAGTACCTAGAGCAGCAGTCTCAATGCCTGGATCGGGCGGGAAACACCGGTAACAGTCACCCTCATCACTAATTCACACAGCATACATGGCGGAAAAATAGCATCAAAATCAAGATCATAGATAGCAACTCCCGCCCTAGACAGCTCGCCCCAGCGAGGGATCTCTGTGGCCTCCGGGAACTGGCGACGCCACGCGTCCGTCAGGCGGCCAAAGCAGCACTGGGTGGGGTGCGCACCCCCACACTGCTCACCCGCACGGTCGCCGGTGCGCAGGACGTAGGTGCACGGACCAAAAACCCCACCCCACTGGCGTGCAGTGTACCACTCACAGAGCTGCTGAGGGGCAGGGTCTCACGACCGCGCTGCTGCTGCTGGCGCGGGCCACCACCGGAATCACTCCTTTGTGTAGACCCGCGACCAGCTCCACCGCCACCCCCGCCGCCTCCGCCGCCTCCGCCACCTCCGCTACCACT